TCAAAATTGCTACAGATGAAATGAGCTAAAAATTTCAACTCATTTCTCTTAACTGCATTTATATGAAGGCTCCCCAAAACTTTGTTCATATCGTAATAAACTTGGAGTTATATTTGTACTTAATTACAATATGAATGACTATTTCATACCTTATTTTAGTTAGATTGAAGTCAGAAGATTTTGTCTCTGTTTTTACCTCCATTACTGACAAGAAGATGTATTCACTTATGGCATGGACCATTCTTCCTCTCCCCGCCCCCCTCCCCGCTTCCCGGTAGCTACTAATAAACTTTGGTGTCTATACACTTTTTATGTAAGTGAGGTCATACAGTATTTGCCCTTTGGGATTGACGTATTTCTCTCAGCATAATATCTTCAAGCTCCATCCATATAGTAGCATGTATTGAGATTTCACTTCTCTTACTGGCTAAGTAGTATTTTATTGTATGTATGGACCACATTTTGTTTATCCATTTATCCCACTTGGGTTGCTTCCACCTTTTGGCTATTGTGAATAGAGCTACAATGAATATTGGTATACACATATCTGTTTGAGTCTCTGCTTTCAAGTCTTTTGGGTAAATGCCTAGGAGTGAAATTGCTGAGTCATATGATAATCCTGTGTTTAGCTTTTTGAGGATCTGCCAAACTGTTTTCCACAGAGGCTGTACCATTTTACATTACATTCCCACCAGCAATGCCAAGGGTTCCAGTTTCTCCACATCCATGCTGTCACCTGTTGTTTTCCCTTTTTTTTTTTTTTTCCCCTCTTGCCATCCTAGTGGGTATGAGTTAGTATCTCATTGTGGTTTCAATTTGTAAATTTCTCTAATGGCTAATGATATTGAGCATCTTTTCATATGCTGATTGGCCATTTGTATATCTTCTTTGGTGAAATGTTGGTTCAGGTTCTTTGCCCATTTTTTAGTTGTGCTGTTTGGCTTTTCGTTATTGAGTTGTGGGAGTTCTTTATATATTCTGGATATTTAGCCCTTATATAAGATTACCACACATTTTTCCCATTCTGTGGGTTGTCTCTTCACTTTCTTGATAAAGTCTTTCAATGCACAAAAGTTTTTAATTTTGATGATGTCCAATTTATCTTTTTTCTCTTGTTGCTAGTGCTTTTGATGTCATATCCTCATGTTCTTGATACTTTAACGAAGAAAGGTCTTTACTGCTATCTTTAATTACATTTCTTTATTTCTTGGAGTAACTTTTTCTTTTTTTAATTGTGCTTTAGGTGAAAGTTTACAGCGCAAATTAGTTTCTCATTCAGAAATTGTTTTGTAACATTGGTTGCAATCCCTTCAATGTGTCAGCACTCTGTCCCTTTCCCTTTACACCCGAGTTCCCTGTGTCCGTTTGTCTAGTTTTCCTGTCTCTTCCTGCCTTCTTGTTTGCTTTTAGGCAGGTGTTGCACATTTGGTCTCGTTTACTTGATTGAACTAAGAAGCAAGTTCCTCACCTGTGTTGTTTGTTCTATAGGCTTGCCTAAACTTTAGCCTAAAGGTAGACTTCAGGAGTGGCTTCAGTTCTGAGTTAGCAGGGTGTCCGGGGGCCTTAGTCTCGGGAGTTGGTCCAGTCTCTGTCAGACCAGTAAGTCTGGTCTTTTTTGCGAATTTGAATTTTGTTCTACATTTTTCTTCCCCTCTGTTGGAGACTTTCTGTTGTGATCCCTGTCAGAGCCATCAGTGGTGGTAGCCAGGCACCATGTAGTTCTTGGCTCGGGCTGGTGGGGGCTGTGGTTCGCGTGGTCTGTTAGTCTTTTGGACTAATACTTTTCCTGTGTCTTTGCTTTGCTTCAGTCTCCTTTGCTGTAGATGAGATGGGACCAATAGATGGATCTTAGAAGGCCACTTGAAAGCTTTTAAGACTCTAAATGCTACTCACTAAAGTAGGATGTAGAACATTTTCTTTATATTGCCAGTCGACCTAGATGTCCCCCGAGAGCTGGTCCCCAGCCCTCAGCCCCAGTAACTCAGTCCCTCATGGTGTTTGGATGTGTCTAGGAAGCTTCTGTGACTTTGCCTTGGTCAAGGTGTTCTGAGTTCCCCTGTATTGTGTGTTATCTTTCCCTTCACCAAAGTTACCAATTGCCTACTTTGTAGTTAGTGATTTTCCCTCCCTACCCTTCTCTCCCTCCTAACCATAAAAGATTGTTTTTTTCTGTGTGTAAACCTTTTCTTGGTGTTTTATAATAGTGGTCTCATACAATATCTGTCCTTTTGTGAGTGATTTATTTCACTCAACATAGTGCCCTCCAGATTCATCCATGCTGTGAGAAGTTTCGTGGATTCATCATTGTACTTATCGTTGTGCAGTATTCCATAGTTGTAATAACTTTTAACATTCTTACCACATTCTGTTATTCTCAGTGTTTATTGACATTTAATTGCATTACCTTAAGATACATGTAGGTTAATGAAATTTTACTTTTCATAGTCTTAAATGGTTAATACAGTTATTTATAGAGAGAATAAGGTATGCATATTTGACATAGTAATACTGAAAGACAGAAACAAGTTAAATTAGATTTGTTTCAGAATACCATTTCAGAATCAGCTGACAATATTAGCAACATCGCTGTTATATGAATATATGCTAATGTGATATGAAAGAAGGATCCTCATTAAAATCTTGTTGCTAAACAAGTGACAAAAGCCTTACAAACAGCTGGAGGCTTTAGGCCAGTCACAGCTATTTCTGAAGAGATTTGGACAAGTGTGAAAATCTATAGACTGTGCCTTTATTGTGATCAGAATACATAAATGCTGTCTCCCATCAATTCCCTAACAATATTTTTATGTATATTAGGGAAAAATAATCTTAAAATAATACCATGTCTAGGGATTCTATTGTGAATTTCTCAAAGGAGTAAAAATACTGGATTTGTTAAATTCTGAAAGTGAACTTCTGATAATAGCCATTATATTTGTGTTTTCCAGAAAAGGACTGGGATTTGACCAACTAGCGTATTTTCATTAGACAAAATTCATGATGTTAATGCTTTCTTCTAGACATCATCTGGGTGAACTAGTCTGGTGTAGGTATAGTGAGGCTACCATAAAGGTAAGGTGGTACAGGAGAAGCCAGCCCATGCTTTATCACTACTGTCAAACATGGCAGTTCTCTCAAAGAAGCCTTTAGCCAGATCTAGCCAATTTTGGATTAATTGTACGCATGTATTCCTTATGAGGATTACTCACATCGTAATTTTTATTTGGGATCATAATCCTTGCTTCCATAAAGGTAGATCTTAATATCATTCTATAAATAGAAACATTAATGTGCAGGAATATGTAGGCATTTCAGAGAGAAAGTTAACCGGCTTTTTGATATCCATGTGGCCACCCCTCAGCATCTCCATTGGTAAGGAATGGGCTATAAGACTGTACTGCCTTTTTGAGTTGTAGGGAGTCCTTAAACAAAGGGTGCAGAGGAAAGATGTTTGGTCTGATTTGGCCCATGTACCCAGCTCATCTGCACAGTTGCAAGAAAGAAGACACCTGGTTAGGATCAGTCTGTCTTAGTTACCTAGTGCTGCTAAACACCATAAGTGGGTGGCTTTAAAAAAAAAACAAAATAGAAATTTATTTTCTCATAGTTCTGTAGGCTGAAAGTCTAAATCAGGGTCTTGGCCTTGTCAATTCCTTCCTTGTTGGTAGCCCCGGGCATTTCTTGTCTTGTAGACAGTCCTTATGTGATGTCTGTCTTTCCCTGTGTGTGTGTCTCTGCGTCTATTCTGGTGTTTTTATAACTCAGAGGTGATTAGGTTTAGGATCCACCCTACACTGGCATGATCTCATTAATATAACAAAACAAAAACCCAATTTCCGAACAGGATCACTTCCACAGGTACAAAAACCAAGAATTCAACATATATTTTGAAGGGGCACAATTCAGCCCATAACAGAGTCTAACAAGCTCAGTTGGGAATCAGGGAGCAAATGATGGGAGTACTAATCCTGTGTGTCCTCGAAGGTGAGTATTACATGTCACTCACAATTTTATGTAACCACGCACGTTAAATTATTTAAATTAGTTTCCTGCATCCTTTGTCCTTGTTCCTGCTGATTCTCCTGCTATTCCACCAGTTGTCTTTCAGAGTCTGGGTATGATGCTGCAGATGTCTATGCTGTGGTGCTCTTGTCCCAGCAAAGCACACGTAATGAGTGTTTGATGCATTTAACAATTCTTCATCATTTTTTGTTTGCTTGTGGTTTAAAAATATTTTTGCTACATATTGTAGTATATATGGGATATATATGTATATGTGTGTCTGCACACACACACATAAACAGAAGAAAGAATAACAACTGGTCTGACTGTCTGTGGAGTATGGCATCAGGGTTTTCTGGATTGGTAGTCCTGAGTAGGCAGGATACCAAAAGGCCCAGTACAATTCTACAGGCAAACCACGAGAACGGAAATCTGACAGCCGTTTGCAATTTCTGGGGCCTCTAAAACCTGAGTTGGGAGTGAAATGAGAGCGCTGTTAACAGAAGCGAGGCCCCATGGCAGCGTTGTCTAAAAGAAAAAGGGCATCTTGTGCCATGAGGTTGGCATCCACCGGCTTTACTGTGTACTGAGAAGACCTGCAGAGATTGGATAGCAGGTGCCAAATTTCTTCTAGTCAGTGACTGGAAGCAAATTCCTCTTTCCTCTTCTCATTCACTCCTCCTAGAATATACTCTCTTCCTCTGTTAGAAATCCTACTCAATCTCTGCATCCTGCCCGTCTCCACCAAGCCTCCCCATCCCCTTCTCTTAGAAGTCTTCTCATCCTCCTCTCAAGTCTCATTCTTTGTTTCTACGGAGTGAATAGTGTTCACCTTTTTCTGCCTTTTACTAGTGTGCTTGTCTTTTGTGGAATATTTACTGTGTGCCAGGCACAATCTAGATAATAAATGTTAAATAAATGATAATTTTAGAGCTGTTAAAAATTACATTGATATAGTTACAATGGTATTTTTTTTCCTTCCAAATTTTTTATTTCAGATTTCACCAGATGTTGCAAGGATTCTGGAATCCTCATGGTAGTAAAATGCCGGAAAGAAAATTCTGCACTGAAAGACTGTCTGACTGCTTAGTAAGTAGTTACCTCAGTGTCTGTGCTGAGGCACATGTGCACGCACACACACACACACACGCACACAGGTAAGAGTATGTTATTTGTTAACTATTATATGTAATGCATCTGTACCCTCGCCCTACCAAATCTATCATATTGTGGGCTGAGTCAAAAATTTCGATTTATTAAAGATTACTCTAAAGAAAGCATTGTAACATATTTATGAAAGGATCTTCTCAAGGTGTTTGATTAAAAATATTGTGTCAGAATATAAAATATATTATTTGTCATGTGATTTAATAAACCTGTTTTCATGAACAGGTTTCTATATTGAATATAGTATAGACTGATTTATATTCATTTCTTTTAATGGAAAAGTACTGAGTTAAAACCTCTAAGATCTTTCCAACCTGGGAATTTGTCAGTGTAATTTAACTTCTAGGAAAGCTGGGGTAAATTAAATGACGACTAAAAAGTAAATCTAGAGTTTTGGTGTTAATCAAATTAACTTTTAAAATGACTCTTAAATATCATGTTCACTGGTATTTCCTTGTAGTTCTTTAAATCTTAAAGAAAAAATATGCAAAGTTCCTTTAATACAGGAACTTGAATGCCATCTATTTTATCTGCTGTTTCATTACCCACATTTTTTTCCCATACAAAAATTTATGCGTACATTGTTATGTGACTCTGATTGCTCTCCCCATACTGTGACAGAAGACCCTTCCTTTCCACCCCTGATTCCCCATGTCCATTCAGCCAGCTCCTAACTGGCTCTGCCTTCCCATCTCACCTCTGGACAGAAGCTGCCCCTTTAGTCTCTGGTATCTACTTGTCTAAGAGGCACACTCCCTACAAGTATCACTTTATGTCCCACAGTCCAGTCCAATCCCTGTCTGAAGAGTTGGCCTTGGAAATTGTTTTAGTTCTGGGCTGATTTGGTGATTTTGATTTTGAATAGTAGTTTTTGAAGAAATGCAGACATAATTAGGGAGATTATAGAGTTAGATGGTGATTTTCATAGATCTTATGGAGAAGAGTTCTGGATCGTTTTAAGGATTTTACCAGTTGATGGTCCTACGTCAAGGGTCTGGTTTTAGTCTTCTACAACTTGAAGCTTTTCTTTTTTTTGATACACACTTGAGTAAAGTGATGTTACTTAAATGCCTGTCAGCTACTTGGCTGAGAAATGCAACCAAGAGGGATGGAGGAAATGAGACAGAGGAAGGTGGCTTTACTGGGACAATTTGAATACAGAAAGAGAGGGAGGGAGGGAGAAAGAGGGAGGGAGGGAAGGAGACAGGAAGGTGGCTTTACTGGGACAACTTGAATACAGAAAGAGAGGGAGGGAGGGAGGGAGACAGAGGAAGGTGGCTTTACTGGGACAATTTGAATACAGAAAGAGAGGGAGGGAGGGAGAAAGAGGGAGGGAGGGAAGGAGACAGGAAGGTGGCTTTACTGGGACAACTTGAATACAGAAAGAGTGAGGGAGGGAGAGAGGGAGGGAGGAAAGGAGAGAGGGAGAGAGAGAGGGAGGGAGGGAAGGAGACAGGAAGGTGGCTTTACTGGGACAACTTGAATACAGAAAGAGAGGGAGGGAGCAAGGGAGAGAGGGAGGGAGCAAGGGAGAGAGAGAGGGAGAGAGAAATGGGTTAGGGAAATATGTTGGTATGTGTAGGAAAGAGGATGCCCTAAGTATATTTGAGGTATGAGTGATGAGGGAAAACTGACATTTACCTGACTCCCCTGACAGGTAAAGAAATGTGTGATGATTGGGAACGGTCGTCAGGTTAGTCAGTGTCCCTATGCCAAACCAAAAAACCAAACCAGTTGCCATCAAGTCAGCCTCGACTCATGGCGATCCCATGTGTGTCAGAGTAGAACTGTGCTCTGTAGGGTTTTCAATAGCTGGTTTTTCAGAAGTAGATACCCAGGCCTTTCTTCTGAGGCATCTCCGGGTGAACTTGAACTGCAAATGTTTTGATAAGCAGCTGATTGTGTTAACTTTTATACCACCCAGGGACTCCTGTCCCTATGCCAGTGATCAGGAGAAGGGGGTGAGGGAGTTAGGAAAAACAGGAGGGAGCAGAGGAGAGGCCTGGCCTGGAATGTAAGTGTTAAACTGCGTCATGTTAATAATACAAGGCAGATATTGTGTAGCCTGGTTACAGGTTTATTTAGTTGTTCTACATCTGATTGTGTTAGTTTAGGTTGGTAGTGAGTTTCTAGAAATTTGTCCATGTCCTCTAGGTTTTCAAATTTGTCAGAGTAGAATTTTTCATAGTATTCTGTTATGATTCTTTTAATTTCAGTTGTGTCTGTTGTGATGTAACCCATCTCATTTCTTATACAGGTTATCTGCGTCCTCTCCTGTTTTTGTTTTGTCAGTTTGGCCAGTGGTTTATCAATTTTGTTGATCTTTTCAAAGAACCAGCTTTTTGTCTTGTTAACTGTTTTAATTGTTTTTCTATTCTCTGTTTCATTTAATTCTGCTCTAATTCTTATGATTTCCTTTCTTCTGGCACCTGTGGGCTTCTTTTGCTGCTCTCTTTCTACTTGTTCCAGTTGTAGGGTT